ACATTGTTTTAAAAAGAATCCTGTTGCATGTTGGCAAAATCCTTTATTAATTTCACTCTAACCTTTTGAGGAATAGCAGACTACACCGGTCGTCAGTCACATCATAAAATAATGCAATAATCTACATTGAGTTTTGAAAATGGTTTCAATTTCAGATCATTAATTTGCCTCCTGTACATTTACCTGAACTTGGATCATGATGGTGTGTGCAGCACTGTTATCAGCTGTCCAGTCATTAATCATTAGTTTAAATTAATTAATAAATCGATTTAATGAATTAATCTATCACCAGTTCATGACTTATTTAGAGTGCACATATGAAGAGAAAAATGGTCCAATTTAAAGGACTTGTGTGAATTGGAAGAGAGTGGATTAGGGGTTGCATTTCAATTCAAAGTGAAGCTTCATTCACGTTGCACAGAAATTGCATAGATGCAAAAGAAACTCTCATTACAATACATAACAATTTTACATTTATAGAGCACCGTTCAAGGTCTGGAGAATGTCCCATTGGCAATACTATGAGGATATACGATATGTGATATATATGTTTGGAACAATATGTTGCTACTACCAGATCCATGAATGGTCCATTACTTCTCGAAGGACAAAAGCAGTTAAATTTGTCAATGCCTTTTTTAATTCTGTTCACTCGATCTTTGTTCAGGTCTAATGTTTAGCTAGATTAATGTTTCCTCCTAGGTATGATGTACAAGTGGAACAAGTTAAATTGATCAGGATTATACAACTTTGAAATCATTAATTTTTAAGTAATAGAAATGGGGATGTATAATCATATATCAGGTGCACTCGACTGCCACAAACCCATCACTGGCTAAATGCGTAAGTAAAACTATTGGATTAGTCACAGACTTGTATATTGTGAGTAGGCAGTGGATCTGGGGAAGGAATGCTTACACTCTACAAAAGATAAATCAATAAAACAAATCAATTTAATTTCAGTCAAACTGAGGTTTTGCTTCAGTCACTAATGTACTTGCAATAATCAGGGTATATTTGGGGGATGAAATCTAAGTGGAGAGCTACATTTCCATCTAAATCGAAAACAATTTTGTGGAGAGATCTCAATCAGAAACAACAATTTGCAATTTTATAGCACCTTTCACACAGGAAAAGTTTTCAAAGCACTTTACAAAGACAGAGTCTGTTGGGAGATAGGTAGAGAGAGCGTGGGGAGAAGTGGTTGAAGGTTAGTTACAGAGTACGACTTTCTATGGGTTTTGAAAGTAGAGAGAGAGAGGAACAGGGTGGAAAGATTTCAGAAAAGAGTCCTAGAGGATGGGGCCAAAGTGATTGAAAAGTCAGTGTTTGGGGTTGTTAGGATAGAACAAGATTGTGCTCGGTCTGTGATAGAGACGGTGGAGTGGATGGCGTTGTCAGGGGAGTAATGGTTACAGGTGATCAGAAGTAGGGTGGAGAAAGGCCATGGATGCATTTGAAATTAAGGACAACGTTTTAAAGTTGATTCACTGCAGGAAAGATAGTTGAGCAAAGATAAGAGTGATGGGCTCACAGAGCCTAGTGCAGGAGAAAATACAGGCTGCTGAGTTCTGGGTGACCTGCTAATTTGTATGTTTTACAACCATAGCATGTTAGACCACTGAAACAGGCTATTCAGCCCATCAAATCTGTGCTGATGTTTTTCTCCACATGAATCGCTGTACTTCCTACTCCCCAGTTCTAAAATAATGTTACATTGGGTAGTGTCTTAACCCATTAGACCACCAGGGAACTGAGAGGAATGATTTTCACTATAATTGTTAATCAAGCATCTGTTCTGCTATATCAAAATAATCTTGTTCTGAGAGTTGTCAAAGTAATCTGCAATATAGCATTTTTATTGTGATGGCTGAGAGTTGCAGAGCAGGATTTGGGAAGCAGGATATATTTGTTCTCACAGCAGATCATTCCTATTTTAGCAATTATGCAAGTCATTTCCTTCATACCCATGGGGAAAATAGATGGTTTTACTCCCATGTGAAAACGGGAAAAAAATGTTTTTTTGGCAACATTCCCAAACTTACTGATTGGACTCCATGTTTCTTCATTAACTATTTGTGTTTGGAATCATTTGTCTGTGGTGAAGATTAATCTACTAATCTATTTGCTAGTAAAATCCTGCTGATTTCTCCAATTTGTTTCTGCATTTCAGACTGGTGTCTATAATATTGGACAAAAGTGTTTCTCTCTTCAACTACATATTGAAAAACTGGAGTTAAAAAAAAAGAGAGAAACAGCAGAATAAACTTGTGCCAAAAATAAACCTCCTTGAATTGCGTTGTACAAAAGCACACCGGAAAGTCCTGAAATGGTCACACATTCTAAGCATCAGATTAAAATATGCAATTTATTAATACAATTAACAACAACAATATAGCACCTATCACATCAGGAGGATGTCCCAAAGCGATGGACAGTCAAGGATGTGCACCCGAGCTGGGGTTGGGATCAGGCGGGGTGGAAGGCAGGGAGGGTGGGGGTAAGAAGGGTGACCGAAGGCGCAGTCGAAGAAGAAGGTCTTGAAGGAGGCAATGGAGAAGGAAAGGAGAAGGGACTGTGGCATAAAGTTCAAAAGGGTAGAATAGCTGAAGGCCCGATCGCTAATGGTGAGGGAGGCAGGGCAGGAGACATAAAACAGACCAGAGACCACCGAGCTTTAACCTCTCTTTTCCTAACAAAAGTCTTTGAACACTTTGAGGGTAAAATACTTTGATCTTGAATCTCCTGAAAATCTGTTTGAATATACAATAGACTTTTGTGCTTAGCAGGCTAAGGGTTAATACTTCCCACGGCACAGTGTCTCTCTCCTCTTTCCAAAGGAGATTGGTTGCCAACTAGAAATCCTTTAAAGAGGGATTAAGTATCCTTGGTTCGAGCCACCTCAGCCTCAAATAGTATCTGATGTCACTTGATGAAATCGTAGGGCTGCAATTTAAAATGTATTTCAATAAAAACCTTATTAGAGCACAACATATTCTCCACCAATATCAACCCAGAGACACTTATAGCTTCAATTCATACATTAGGCCAGCAGTGAGGTATTACTGACTTAAAACAAGATGTTCAGAGCAGCTTTTTGTGTCTGTGCACTCAGAGTAAGAGTGGGTATTTTCACACAGGGAACAACCAGGAATTTCAGTAGGTATTCTGCTGCTTTTAGGTTGAGTCACTGAGCTAACATTTGTACTCCAGTAATTATGACTCACTGCTGCAGTAAGCAACGTTCCCGGTTGTGATGATTCCATTTCGTGTAGGTGCCAGAGACCTGGAGATTGAGGAGTTTAGCCAGTTATAGAGAATGAGTGGGAAAGGAGTGAATCCAAATACCTGAAGTTTAATATGGGAATATTTTACCAATGCCGTGTTGTATGTGTTTAAGCAACTGTGCTATAATTGCAATAATAGATATTCCATGAGTATATAAACAGCTATACATAACATGCATCAACAGCTATCTGACATAGTTGAGAACAGCTATGTATAGCAAACAAGCAGATTAAAAGACAGCATTAGCAATATGCCAACTGTAGAACACTAAGAAAAATCCAAAAAGTTAGTAATAAGCGAGTACTGTAGTTACAATAAAAATATTACATTATACCTTTTAGCATGTTTAAATGAAAAGTTAAAAAATCTATGATGGGATTTTGTTGGGTATGATACTAGAATTTTTCTGGCAGACTGTCACCAAGGCTAGATCAGTAGCAGCAGCAGTTTGGCTCTTTACCAGATTTATACCATGTTACAAAACAGAGCCAGATATCTTCCCGTCTTTAAACTTTGATTGCAGCCCAAATATGACATTCACAAGTTCCAGTTTGTATTAGTCTCACTCTTCGGATCCTCATGCCACGAATATCAACATTGCCCTTTGTTGCCCTTATTGTTGCTCTAGGAGATGAAGCGGAGAACTCTCTCACTGCTAGACTGTCGAGGTAGTACAGAGATGGCTGTCATTGAATATGCCCAAGAGATTACACTCAAAAACGAAGAAAACTCCAATGTCTGCAACAGGTCTGTTGTTAATGGTTTTTCAGTCTTTCGCAGATATATTCTTCAGTAGCTTCAAGTGCTGTTGGTCTTTATGTCAAATGGAAACATATATTGTGACATTATTCAAGGATTTAGAATTATTATTAGCTCTAATTGAAATACTTTAAATTAGGTATTTGTTTTTATATGTTTAAAAGTTTGCAGTTGCTTCTCTTACTCAAAGTGACCTGTTATTTTTTTCTCTTTATATAAACACAGATTGTTAACATTTGGTTAAATCACTCCATGAGTGCAGTGTTATTAAACAAGGAAAATAAAGGCTATATGGAATTTTACTGAGAATTTTGTGTTCAGAATTAGTCCATGTTAATTGGAGAGACTATTTCTGTAATGTAGGAAATTGCTTTAATCTCACACGACAGGCGTTTTGTGGATCAACAGTTTTATGGATGTATTATCTTCAAAACATTGTTTTTCCAGCATGAATATGAATTTGAAAGTAAACATTATGTAAAACATTTAGAGTGAATATTCATTGTTTACAGACTGAGGTCAATTTCTGATTCCACAAAGGTCTTCCTTGAGGTGTCAAAAGCCATTAAAAAATATTTCAAATTTCGCAATCCATCTTTATAAAAACTTTTCAAAATGCCAGTCTATTCATGATATGTCAACAATTACTTAAGGTCTGTAATTAATAAAGAAATAAAATAATGCTGAAGCAGCTTGGTGAACCAGATTGTATTGTGCAATTTGGCAGATTAGGATACATTTCATATTTTGGTGTGATTTTAATGTTTCTGATATTTTAGTCAGTTGGCTACATTTGTGAATTGTAATTCTGAATGTTCATATTGTTCAGAGAAAAAAAATTTAAACTGTGCCAGAAATTGGGCACAAAAAGCCCAATTTCAGAAACGCTGATACATCTTGTGATCAATGTGATTTATGGTACATTTTTCCTTTTGTGTTTAATTTTGAACAGTATTCCAAAGAAATCAAGATTGTAATTTCTACACTTGAGCACATTGGGCAGTGCGATTTCAACAGGTTGTTGTTAGTTTGGGGGGGAAGGCGGGGAGGGAGGATGACATCCCACATGGAATCCAGCTGTTGTTTCAGAAGTGGGTTCATTGCTGAATGACTTTTGCAACTGTTGGAACTGTGGAATCAGATGACGAAGAAGGTTAACCAGTGGTGGAACAAAGGTCAGGGCTGAAACCACTAACAGGATTGGCAGAGAACATCAGTGAGGACAGTGGATCCTGTAATAGATCTGAATTTGTTTGCTAAAGTCCTATCATCGAGTGTATGAAAGAGCCTGTGGTTCAACTGTATGTTGACTACACAGTTTACTGCGGAAATGTAAGCATCATTAGGTGTTATGACTTGTTTGCTAAGCGCTCTGATACGCTATCCTGGGTGGAGAGCTCTATGTAAGTGCATGTTGTTGTTGATGTTGTTTCTGTATGTACATATGCATGTCAAATGAAGCCAATTAATGTCAAGCCATTTAATATTGGCACAAATAAGGGAAGTAAATAACATAAGTATACAATCAAAGTGAATTCTGTAGGTGGGGCTCCCAAGTACAGTAACTTTTATATTTAATGGTTTACTGCTAGATATGATTATGCTAAATGTAAGGTTTATTTTATAATTTTTTTGGTTTCTAACAGGCTTTCATAGTTCTGCCAAAAGCAAAATTGAAATAGCCTGCTCGATCATTTTATAGCTCAATCATTTGTTGGAAGGTGTCAGATAAGTCACCAATATCAATTTGTGTATTCTGTTGATTTTATTCATATGTTCATACCACATATTCTGTTGATTTTATTATATTGGATCACATAAATTTTTGAGGTGGATAGAACAGAACTAGGTCCTGTATAACAGCACACTGAGAGCAGACACCTGCATGTCCTGAAAGATAGAGGGAAGAATTGAAGATCTTGTGAAGGACAATTTAAGTTACTCTCATGTTTTTCTTGTGGCCAGTTAAAGACCCTAGTTGGCAAATGTCTGGGAGCAGGTCACTCACACGCACAACCACACACACACACACACAGATCATCATGTAATTCTCTGGAAGTTAAAGGAATAGTTTAAAGAAAAACTAAAGGTGATTGCAAGAAGAACATTTTTTTTAAAAAGAGCAAGGGAGGCAAATAAAAAAATTCTAATAGGTTTGAGAGTTTTTCTAAATTTTTTTTCTTTATACAGACTTTGAAAATCATGTTGTACAAACAACCTAAATATAACTTGACCTTTATTCTAGACAGAACAGCACCACGTCACCAATAGATGTACAAGAAGAAGCTTCACAGCTAATGCAGGAATCCAGTGAGGTAGGGTGACAAACACATATTAAAATAATTTTGCATTTATCTTTTGGAGAGTTTACTTTCAAACCTTGTTATTAAGTGTAACTCTTCAGTTGTTTACAAATATTTAATGCTATGTTGATTCATCTTTTATAATTCTGTACACTTATTGGTTCTTAAATTGCTGTTTTGAAACAAAGAAGACTTAATTTTAATTTGCCCACAAAATACACAGTCAACCACTTTACAGTATATCCTGTGAAGTGCTTTGAGACGTCTCAACGATTTGGTAAGGCGGTATATCAAATGCAAGTATTATTATTACATACGCTTTCTACCAAATAGTGAGTTAATCTCAGTGTCTGTCAGAATTTGGGAATAAAAATGTTACAGTCAAATAATCTTTTGAAAGAGCCATTCAGCCGATGGTTCACGTGCCAGATCTCCAAAAGAGCTATCCATTTGGTCGCACTCCCCTGCCTTTATTCAATACCTTTTTATATTTTTCTTTTTCAAATATTTGTCTAATTCCCTTTTAAAAGCTATTTTTGGTATGGAATTTCAAGGTCTTAATATTTCATATATAAAAAAAACCTCAATCTCTCTTTATTTTATTGGAAAATAGCATCAATATCCTGTTTAATATTATTTTAATATCAGGAACACCACTTAGTAGCATGTTAAGTAGCTTGCTATTCAGCATTAGAGCTGTATATCCTTAAACGTAGCTGATAACAGAAAGGGACTCAGTGCAGTTGTGCTTGTGCAAAATGGATACATTTCACTATATTTCTTTAATTTGGCATTTTCAAAGCATCACAAATAATACATAGAATAGACAGCCAGGAACAATTTTACATTCCTGTTCAACACAAAATAAATACTGACGCTGCAAATATCCATTTTTAATGACCAATGGCAAAACTGCTCTTAATGGAGTAGCAACATTGGAATTACTAAGTGGTTGAAAATTAAAAATCAAATCTGTGGTAGTGCATTGGAAGACAATTTGAGAGGAAGAAATCCATCATCCCCAGAGTGGGAGAAGTCTAAATCCATTTCTGACATTGAAGCAAAAAAAATACCATCAATTTTTACAAAAATCTAGGAATAATATAACAATTAAAGCAAATGCTTCAATAAATTAGATGAAATGTTTTAAGATAAGAGAAGACTACGGCATTCTTTAATTTTTCACAGTTCTCAGTGTAGTGCTCTGGATCAATATTTAAGAATAATAACACTAAGTTTTAGCTCATTGACATGTTTGATTTTTTTTATATGTAATACGTATACATAACTTATATAATGTATATAGAGGCGTGTGTGGTAACATGAGTTATGTCATTGGGCTTTTCATTCACATCTTTCAACTGTTAAACAGAGTGACGGTCATTATTCCTAATATCTCATTTCAGTATCTGCAATAATTGAGTCAAAGTAAATATCATACTCTTATCTCATTAAGAGGATCTAATCAATTTAATTTAAATTGTTATGTCAGCTCTGACCCGTGAAGAAGAAACTGATGGAGAAAATATTACCATAGTGCTGACATACCATGATACACTGTGCTCCATTTATGCTGTTTTCTGCTGACTTCAGTACTTTATTAGTTCGATGCAATCTAGTTTGTAAAAGTCAATGTAATTGTCGTATATTTGCCCTATTGTAGAGAGAATGGATACATCAGTTTATGTTTACTATCTATCCTCCTTCTCCCTTACACTTGTTTTCCTCTTGTTGCATATTTAATAAACATACCTGAGAAAGTTGGAAGTTTAAGGGAATAAATATCTTTTGTTTTCTAGAGGAAGATAATAATAAAATAATAATCCTTGCATTTGATATATGCCTATCCACATCGTCGAGGCATTTCAAAGTGCTTCATAGGATATTCTGTAAAGAGGTTTGACTGTGTATTTTGGGTGCAAAACTGGCAGCCAGTTTGTGTACAGCAATGTTCCACAATTAGTTTGAGTCACCATTGTATTTGAGAAATTGTTGGCTAGGACATCAGGAGATACTCCCTTCTCTGTTTCGGATAGTACCATGGGATCTTTAGCATCCAGCTGAACAGGCAGACAAGAGATTGGTTCCATATCTCATTCGGTGGACAGCACCTTCGACAATGCAACGCTGCCTCCCCCAACATTGGAGTGTCATCTTAGACAGTGTGATTCCAAGTCTCGATGTAGGGCTTGAACCCACAACCTGCTGATTCAAAGGCGAGAGTATCACCACTGAGCCAGGCTGATGTGAAGACTAGTTTTCAGCATGCTTATTAACAGATGACATTGGAAGGCAAGATAACACTGTATGGTACCATTGCATTGTTGGCACAATGAAAACATTGGGCTGTGGAAGTGGGACAGCTACACCTAAGGGAACTTGTATGTTTTCATTCAGCATAAATTAATTCTCTACCATCCTTCACCCATACTGCTGTTACCTCTAGTCACTCTTTCTGAATAAAACTAATAATATCTCTATAGATATCTGCTACTTACAAGAAGTATTGTAAAATTGTTATCTTCATCGACTACTGTGCGTAATTATAATAATCTTAAGTATCATTTATGACAGTACCTTGGGATGTCCTCCCAATGTGAAAGCGCTATATAAAAAAATTAATTTGTTTTTGTTGTCGTCGTCTTATCCCTTCTCATTGTGGATCCTATTATTTTTTGTTAGTCTGACTCCTGCGGAAACCCATCACCATGCTTAAGAGTATCGAAACCAAACAGGGTTCCATGCATCCCACCTGCACATGGAAATTCCTGAGATATTTCCTAATATAGGTATAGAAAATCATTACAACAGAGATTTTACATAATTTTACATACTGCCACTTCAGCCAAAAAATTGCACCTCTATTAGCCACAAATAAATATGTTCATGCATTAAACAAACAAACAAACAAACAAACAAATAAATAAATATAAATAAATTTAGTGGCTATCCTACAAGATACTTTAAAGATCCTTTGGTCAGTGAAGCATATTTAAACATGAGCTTCAGTGGTTTCAATGTTAAATGTATTATTCATTTTGGAGGGTTTGAAGGGTATGGGAATGGGATTGAAAGTAATCTTACTCTGAGAGCCAGTGGTACAGACTCGATGGGCTGAATGTTTACTGTAAATGTTTACAATTCCATTAAATCTGTAAGTTTCTACAAATCCACAACTGCTAAGGTTTGTCTATTCACTTAAATGCAATTAGACCCTGAAATGTTTTGAGTACAGAGTGATCTATCAATTCAATATTTAACAAAATTATAAACAATGTTTATAATAATAAATAATTTATAAATAATTCAATTACAAAATTATAAACAATGTTTCATACTGTATTGTGCAACACACATGATTCTAAGAATATTAACCAGATGCATTTTTTAAAAATTCTGGAATATATTTTAACATATAAAATGTTGATGTGTATTCTGTACATGTATTATTTAATTAGTTTTTGTCATATTACCTCTAATTACAATATGGCCAGGTCATACTAAATGGCACGTGTGAAACAAGTTGAAATTTAAGCATCAACCATCGAGGAATTGACTGAACGTTGCATAATATTAGCTCCTAAACTGAGACGTGCAGAACTATGCGTTTACATGCGTGTGACTGCTTATTCGCTGGTAAAGCAATGGCACATATGCAAGATGCTGAAGAAAAGCTCATGCATTCCAGGTGGAATCCTCACAGCTGCTTCTTTAAGATTTTTTTCAATTTTAATTTTAATACCTTTGCGAAATTGAGACGAAAAGGCAAAATGTGCTCAAAACTGCAGCAGCCCCCCCCCCCATCAAAAAAAAGGTTTTACAACATTGTATTGTTTGAATGCATTTTTTTTGCTACTGAGAAGCTAAGCTGGGGATGCAGGTCAGAAACTGGCAGCAATCAAAACAAGTAGTATTTGAAGCCCTAAAAATGATGCATACCTCTGTAAGGCATTGCTAAACATGGCCCACAAAGGGACGGTTTAATTCTTAAGAGGGATGATAATATCTGGTCTTTTATGAATGAACTGCACTGGGAGGAGCGAATTGTCACCAGAGATGATGTCAGAGAGACTCAGTGAAGTGCTGGGCTGGAGGATGGACTGGCTACAGCATGAGCTGGGATTGCTGTCAGATTGGCTGACTGGAGCAAGTCATGCATAGGGGCTGCTGACGAAATCATTGCTCCCACCAGACTTAGGTCATGAATAAACTATAATCTGGGGATGTACGTAACTGCAGAAAACCGAAGCAACGCAAAACAGCTTGCAATATGTCAGTGATTTCGAATAGATGGCTTTGCACTCTGCTGGTCGGGGTTTGCAGCTTGTTAGTTGTTCTGGCTTAATCGCACTCGATGCTAAACGCCTAGGACCAGGGCGGTGGACACTGGAGCCTGTGCTAACGTTGTGTTGCACGATGTTCTGCTTTTGCCTACAGAACTCCTTAATGAAGCTGCAAACCCTTGAAGTTGACCTGTGCTCAGCATTTTTACCGAACCAAGAGGAAGGTCCCTCGGCACAGTGCAGCAAGGAACACATCTCTCGATTAGGTTGCAATGGATTAGCTGATGAGGGGAGCAGTGGGGGTAAGGATACTTCAGAATATTATTCTCTACACGGATTGCAATGTGTGTTCGCGGATGATTTGCTGTGGAATCCATGGCACTTATTTTAACGAGTCTGCTCGGTGACAGCATTTTAGCTCATCATTTTTAATCATGTCAATCTTTCTGTGTTTTTATTAATCACTGTATTTGATTTGATTGTCTTGAGAAATACTATTTGTGTGTGCATTTATTTCATTTGATTTTTTTTTGTTAGAGCACTGCACCATTATTTTCCCTATAATTGATTTCAAATTAATGCATCAACAAAGAGATAGTGATGGTGAGTACATTCAATTGATTTGTGTTTTTATTTGAACGCCACCTCTCACACCTGAATCCACCTCATTATTACCCTTAAATGCTTTGCTCCAACTAACTTAATTAATACTGTTTGTAGAGGCATCTTATTTTAATTGGATTATTCCTGCCAACACTTACCCACATTACTAAAATAGAGAGTTGGCTTGCTAAATTATATTGGAGATGTGTATATATATATATATGTGTGTTTGTATGAGAAAAATAGTGTAGGGTTCCTCTGACTCAGTATAAAGTGCCTCAGTATAAATACACCTATTGCAAAAATAGGTTTCAAGAAGTTCAAAGAAATGGATTCAACAGCAGAATTTGAAATTGCACATGTTTTAAAACCAAAGGATTTTCAGCTACTACGGTGCATTATTTAACCCTAACCTTCACTATCACGTGGGAAGCTTCACATTTTCTATCGGTGGCAAAAAGCAACTGGAAGGAGGACAACTGGATTGGCTTCATAGTTGTGATATTAATTACCCAAAACATAATGTGTATATTGAATATAATCGGTTGTCAAGGTTATTCAAAAGTCACTGAGCATCAAAATGATTACAGAGACCCGCTTCGTGTTGCCACCGAGCCGTTAAACGTGAGCATTTTAATACATTGTTTTATTCGCATACAGGCCGATGTTCTGCAGGGAGTTTCCATGCTTTAAAGTCCTCTAGAATACACAAAAATTCTGCTGGTTGGTCGTGTTCCTTTGATACTGTCATATACAAAGGTGGGGATGGCACAAATGAGAGTTTGATCATGCCATCCTGCCCATTCAGTCATTTTTGGCACTTAGCAATTATTTTATTTGATTTTTTTAAAAAAAACAAAAATAAAAAATAGCATCAAATAACTAGTTGAAAGGCAGTGCAAAAACGTAACATAATGAACAGAGTTGCTGTAGGTGGCTGTCATTTTCTTTCACATGCTCTTTAAATACAGTCTGTCTAAAAATAAATTGGTGCATTGGCAACATCATTAAGGCTGCTCTGAAAATATTGCAGAATGGGCATCTTGCATTCTGTATTCTTTAGAAAGCGCTATTGTACTGAAAAGCATAGTATGACCTTTTAGCTGCAACACTTACAACTCAATTGATTTTTTTTTAAAATGGACATTATATCCCGACTTCTTCAATGAACTTGTAATTGTGTGGGCAGTTTATATAGTTACATGGAAGATAATATTATTGTTATTACGGTATGGAAGATGCATAGTTTGCACATTCGTTTTTTTTATATATAAGAATAAACAAGCACTTGAACTAAACGTTCCTGGTCATTTATCATTGCAGAGCCAATCCCAGCCTTCAAAGCCTGGCAGAGTGAGCTTGAAAACGGAGCAGAAGCACACCGTTCCCCGGGGGCTAGCAGGTTGCTGCATCACATAACAGATGGGGACAATCCACTCATATCGCCACGCTGTTCCAGCTTTAGCAAGAGCCAAAGATTTGTGCTGGATACCGAAGCAGCTCCATCTCCACCCAGTGCTCAACCATTTATCATGTAAGATGGACTTTTTAACTATTTATTTTTATTTAACCAAGAAGGCCAAGTTACTGAGGAAATAGATTTAAAATCAGAATTGATTCTTTATTGGTAAGCTCTACACACTCAGCGTCTATTCAATGACAAGATATGCTCATCAAACAAATAATGGAAAGTGTAATTTAAAGCTTTTTTATTGGGAGTTACCTTCAATTATTGTCTCTCCATTAAAACATTATAGTATAGTTGAAAGGATTTTTGTGACTCACAGAATTGCTGTCCTGAATTTTCCCAACCTGGTCTCCTGTCAATTTGTTGGCCAGTGCCTTGGACCACTGATGCATTTATCCCATTAGCAACAAGAACAAAATTACATTTGTATAGAGCCTTTCACAGCGGGAGGACGTCCCAAGGCTGAAAGTTTATCATCTTTGAAGTTTATCTTAGGGAATTAAGTATATTTTACTTGGGGATAAAACTATTTTGTATAGCTCAGTGCAAACAATATGGATTTGCATATAATTTATATTTAAATATATTTCCTTGATTTATATGTATTAAATTTAAGTACTATAACTGGAGTGTACACAGTATTATACGTGAATATAGTAGTGTATCTTTATTTGTCCTTCACTAATTTGTCCCTTCTCCAAAAGTATTTGTATCCTTTTTTTACTACTGTGTATATGATACATCACCAAAATGACCATTAATTGTGTGTCATCCAAGACACTGAGTGTTGGCCTGGGAATATTTGGTGTCCAGTTTGAACTCAGGCAACGGTGAAAGAAAACAAGAAATTGGTGCCAGGAACACAGAAGAGTGATACAATTGACAGTTATATAGCGCCTTTCACATTGGGAGGATCTTTCAAAGTGCTTGATACCGCTGGCTGGGCATCAAGCTGGGAGCAGGAGTCTGGAGGGAGGGCAAGGAGGGAAAAGATGACCAAAAGCATGGTGCATCTTGTCGATTTTGAGGTAGGCCTTGAATGCGGAGAGGGAGGGAACAAGTCTGAGGGGTCAGGATAGGGTTCCAAAGAACAGGTGCAGAATGCTGAAAGCTTGCCTGTAGGTGGTGGAGCAGAGAGCGCGGGGAAAATGAAGCAGGGCAGAACAGTGTTTGCTAAGCGAAGGGAGCAGCCGGATCAGAAGAGTTGTAGGAGGTCACAGAGGTAGAGTGAGGCGAGAAGGATTTAAAGGTGACAACAAGGATCCTGAATTCGAAGTGTTAAGAGTAGAAAAATATTTGCAATATTGTCACCACAGTTGAGTTGGTGTGTTTTAAACCAACACTTTATATCTTCAAGGCCAAGAAAATCTTCTCATGGTAATCCTGAAACTGTAAATGGTCCAAAGTTAGTTACACAGCTGACGAAACAGATCCAGAATTTGAAGAAGAAAATAAGAAAATATGAAGAAAAATTTGAGCAAGAAAAGAAATACAGGGTATGTGATAAAAAGTTATATTTTATAACAATTACCAATAACCTTTAGATTGTCAGCAGCTTTACACAGACGTTCTCTTGGCCAGAATATTTTTGCATGTATTCAGCTCACAACCTGGCACTGAAAAAAATATTATATTAGAATAATCAAGCTACACAGACATGTAAGGTTTATCACTGTCGTTACCTCCTAAACAACTAGAAGCAATAGAAAAAAACACAATTTCGATTGAAGTTCTTTTAAATTAAGTTTACAAATGCTTACTCTGCTGTCATCTTTTTCCATCAATTTTCTCGTTTTCCCTTTCCTGTCTTTTTTTAATTGTAACTTTATTTTCTATCTTTCCCAATCTTACTTTTAACTTTAAAGCCTCCCACATACCTTTCTTTCCCTTCCATTTCAAATATTCACTTCTGCTGTACTTCCAGAAAGTTTTACTTTGTACTTGAGGTGCCAAGTAATGCTATGTAACAATGAACAACTGCTGCTTCAAAAATATTAGAAATCATTAAACAGGAAAAACTCATCAAGCCTGCTGCAGACTTTTCTTGATTTATATTACATAAAACTTGCTTTTAACATTTGAAAACCATTTACAGTAAAGGATCAGATAAATTCCATTATTTGCCTTTGTTTTTTAGCCCTCTCACAGTGATAAAATTGGTGATCCAGAAGTTTGGAGGTGGATGAATGATCTGACAAAGGCTCGTAAACAGTTAAAAGGTACTAAATAAAATTAAATAATAATCTTTGCCTTATCATCATATTAAAGTGCCTCATAAGATTTACTGTAATGTATAGTGACTGGGTATTTGTAACCTTAATATTCACATTCGTTGATCAATTTATGGTTTAACGTTTATTAATTTTTAATAATTATTTTCACTTGCAAATCTGACAATTTCATAGCAACCATGTAACACAAAGTTTTATACCCAGTTATGACCAGGTAAATTATTCTAGCAATTATTTTTCTGTTGCTTGTGTTGTAATGTGTGACTAATAGTTTGATTCATGGAGTTGCTTGTTTCATGTTGCTTGTTTCAGAATTGAAACTGAAAATTTCAGAGGAGGAGAACAATACCTGTCACAGACATTGCAATAGTCTGTTTCCTGTAACTTCAAGACAGGATAAAGAGAACAAACACTGTGAAGCAGCAGAACCACAGCAGAAGACTGTCGAAGAAACTGTAGAAATTGTGATGAAAACGTTAAAAGAGAAACATGAAACTCTTGGCCTTCCAGAGAACATTAAGGTACATATTAACACAGTCAGCTTTCTGTTTCAATTACAGACATTTTGAATTGTAATTCACTTTAGCAAAGTACGATTTTTTAAACAGATTGACGAACAATTTAAGACATAATTCAACCATCTTTATTTGTATAATTCCTATTTTGTACAGGAAATTATGTAAAAGCAGCTGTGGTTAGGTAAGGTAAACATGCAAAAATGTGTATTGGATTTTGAAATTATTCATGGACGATCGTAATGTGTATAGGCATAACTAGATTCTGAAATTGATATTGAATAATAGAAACAAGTAGTAATCTCCCAAATGGGCTCTAATGATAATGTAAACTAACAGCAATCTAGAATCATCATCAGAGGTACAATTATAGCCTTGAAATCACTCAAGGGTATTTTAATTAAGGTTTTTTTGTGGCTAGAAGAGTGCACAATAACCGCAAGACAAGTAAGGTTGGGGTTATTCTTTGCTACATATATCTATGTATGTATGTTTCATTTGTGGTACATATTTCTATGTATGTTTCATTATAAGTGTGAATCAATAATGAATGGAATAGAATAGCCCTAAAGCTTTCTCAAAACAATAGAAAATAAGGCTTTATTCCAGCAGCTTTTCTTCTAAACTAAAACTCATTCATACAGCACATCAGATCACTGCCAAATGATTAAAAAAAAGGACTACAATAAGAAAATATTTCTGAGAGATGTAATACTATATTGTCAGTTTGTAAAAAACAAAAGGTTTTTGGGACAGGAGTTTCTTCTGGCTTTTTTTCTCTGCTCAAACAACACTCACTGTTGGGTCAGAAACTTCACTTGACCAGATGGGAAGGGTAGATTTCTTCCCCTTGATTTAGAATCAAGGATAGATTCCACCTGAATATTTTCCTTATTCTTTCACAAAAATGAAACTGTACGATACTAAACTACATCTACTATAAGGTGTTGCTTTATTCCTTTCTGGTCTTTGCATCACAAAATAAATTATTTTCTCAGTACTTTATTTTTGTATAACATATACTATATATAACACATCATAAATTGATAGCAATCCTAAGGAGCTATCCAAGATGTCACCTTCCTCCCAATACAGAGTATACCCTTGCTACCCCTCCCAAAGGAATATTGTTTATGTTAACATGGAGAATCAACACCCCATCCATATATTCCTTGTGTCAATGAAAATTAGAGATGAACTACAAAGTATCTCAATCTAGAGTCCACCATATCCCACTATTTCAATCAACAGTCATGGACTGAACTAATGGGGAATGAATCTTCAAAATATTTATATATATATATATATATATCAATTGCATATTAACTTGTGGAAGCAGTAAACTTTATGGAATCCAATAGGTAGGTATTAATCAGCTTCTTAACTATCACTTCCTAGTTTTGAATGTACGGTTAAGGCTTTGGGACATTACGCCTCACTAATCTATATCATCTCTTGATACGTCTCAGGTACTGGTTGTGAATCTTCAACAATGGTAAAATTGCGCATCATTTTTTGAAAGCCTGAAAATAATTTAGATTTAAGAAAACTATCAGATCTGTTAATCATCAGATTTCCTTAGCTTAACTGTCCCATTGCACAATAGCAAAATGATTTTTTGTGTTATTTGAATAGGTGACCAAGCAAGAAAGGCAACTCATGAAGCCTCTTTATGATAGATACCGAGCTATAAAACAGCTCTTATCTGCAGCATCAGCAATCCCTACTATCGTAAGTAAAACAAAGAAGTAAAGTACTAAAACGGGAGCAGACATTATTTGTAGACGATAAACCAAGGCACATTATAGTTCTATAAGACCAGCCCTATAGAATTTAAGAACTTTATATAATCAACAACAACAACAAAATTACATTTGTATAGTACCTTTCACATTGGGAGGGTGTCCCAAGGCGCTGGACAAATAAAAGTTGCATTATAAGTGGAATAAACAATTGCCCTTTTTAAATAGTCACTGTTTAGTATATTGTGATGATGTAGTTATTAATGTAACATTTTAACTCATTTTATTGTACTGCATATAGGAAGAAGAGTCTGATGAGGAAGCTGTGCACAGAAATTCTGAAACATCTTCTACACCTACAGCAGACTTTCCTTTCCCAAAATATGTAGGTGACATAGATCATGGAGATGAAGATCATACACCTGAATTTGTTTCTCCTTTGGATGAAAAGAAAACTGTCAGGCAACCAACTACTTCCATGTCCAATCTTCATGAAGCCTCCACGTAAGCTTTTAAAAATTGCAGAACTGTGCAAGCAAACATTTAAAGCAGTTTTTGGTCATCAGAAAGCCGAATGAAACCTCTTGCTGTGCTTAGTAGACACTACTTTAACGCCTGAAAAGATACAAAATAAAAGTTTGCCTGTTCTTGAGAACATAATCTCTTCCTCGATTAGCTTATGTCTAGGGGATACAGCTAAGGATTGGCAGAAGCCAAGGGACTATGAATTCTGGAATAATAAGGGTGACGTAAAATTCCAGTGTGCCATCACATTTGCTTAAATAATTTTCACTGAATTCCCATGGTAGAGAATTAACTCTTCGAGGTGTTGATTTGTGCTCAAGACTATGATGTATAAATTTCTTAAATTTAGTCATACCATCAGGGCATTATTTAGTAGAAAACAGATGTTTCCTTAACAAGGAAAAAAGAGAGGCAAAGTTTTTTTGCAAACTTCTGCAAACCTCTCAATAGCTGCCTGAAGAGGAACTTGGGAGAAACTTGGCTAGGTCGTTGCTTCCTTTTTTCTTCCTCCTGCGTTTGGGATTTTGTGTTTGGATATCTAAAAGGCACAAATAGTGAAATTAAGTTGTAAGCCTATTTTAATGAAAAAAATCATCCTTATATACCTCTAGAAGTGAAAATCCCAGCATAAAACTGTGAAGTACTCTACACTTGAATCTGCCAACTCAAGAATGCAAAAAATATTCCTCCAATTAATTTATTTTGGCAATATTTGGCAATAATAATAATTGTTGCATTTGATATTAGCGTCTTATCACGTCTTTGAGACATCTCAAAGCACATCACAAAATATACTGTGAAGTGAATTGAATGTGTATTTTATTGTTCATAAATTGAAAACTACAATACTTACTTGATTCAAAGGTTATTTTTCACTCACTTTTTATGCAGGCCTGAATTATTGGACTATCTTCATGAAACTAGAGCAGAGAAGAAGAGACTTCGGAAAGTCCTCAGAGAGTTTGAAGAGCAATTCCTTAAGCAAACAGGAAGGTGAGCTAAGAGCAAAAAAAAAGGATGGATGAAGGAAAGGCTACATTAGATCCACGAAGTGCACACAGCCACGCAAAACCTTCTCCAATATAGATTTCACCCACCCATTATCTTGTAAAAGAATGTATTGCATAGATACTACCTGAACAACCTTCCCTAAACAATCAGGGAAAAATACAGAATAATTATCCAGCTTCTAAATTCGAGTCTACCTTTTTTCCTCCTTAAGTCATTTGTGCTTTTTTAAAAGAGATACTTTCAGTTCATGACATCAGAAAGAGTAAACAGTGATGAGTTACTCAAACGTCAGGGGTACAAAGTATGTGCTGAACGAAATAGAACTGCACTGGGTGAATCCAGTTCATCTCACAGATTACTGAGGGAGGCTCCAGATGACGTGGGTCCAGGGGAAGGAAGCAAAAGTTCTTTGCGTGAGGTGAAATAAAATGTTGGTTATTTTGTTGTCATATAGGTGGAAAATGCACTTTGAACACCCATACATGGAGTCCCGTAGCTTAGTGGTTAGAGCACTCGCCTCGCAAGCGAGAGGACCTTGGTTCGATTCCGGGGCAGGGCGAAACATTAGGCAAGTTTCCTTATTCCACATGCCTCTGTTTATAATAATAATAATAATCCTTGCATTTGATGTAGTCTTTGAGACATCTCAAAGCACGGCAGCCAATTGCGCATAGCAGTGTCCCACAAACAGTCGTGGATTGAGTGACCAATTTTTTNAAGGAATTATTACCCCCGGAAAAGCGATCCGAGATGCTACCCTAGCCTTTTTAAATGCAAATTATTGTTGTTTACATAGCAGTAAGTAGGAACCTGGTTTTAGTCCATTGGCAGATCACATTCCAGGGGGTAATAATCCCTTCAAAAATTAAAAATAACTAATAATTTGATTATTCAATCCACAACTGTTTGTGGGACTGTCTGTGCATAATTGGCAGCCACGTTTTGCCCACAAAATATCCAGTCAATTCATTTTACAGTATATTCTGTGAAGCGCTGAGATGTCTCGAAGACTTGATAAGGCTCTATATCAAACGCAAGGATTGTTATAATATTACTTTCCTTCACCTGTAACCAAGTGAGTTTTTTCATTTAAACACTAATTACCGAAACATTTCTTGCAGGAATGCACAAAAAGAAGATCGCATACCAATGGCTGAAGAATATTACGAATACAAGCATACAAAGGCTAAGCTTAGATTGTTGGAGGTACTCATCAGTAAACGGGATGGCTCAAAAACAGCTTTGAGTTCTTAAGGAAACTGTGCTGGAAAATCGTGATCTTGCAACAACTAGTTATTGGATATTTCGTCTTAGTATTTGTGCCATATAAACACTTGGTTGCACTTTATCAGTGAACTCTGCATATTCTAATAGTGACAGTAAGAATAAGGGTTGCTGAACATCTAATCAAAGTCACTATCATTACATGACAAAAAAAGTACAAGATATACTTTATCAATATTTTTGTGCAGGTAGTTATGAGAATTTGATGGAGGCTCATCTGACTAATAATTGCTAATTAGAATTAAGTGCAATGATTTATTGTCAGGGTGCGGATGGGAGAGACATATTTACTGATATTTTCCATGTGAGACACCATAGCACTTTATCTGTTTTTATTGTGGACTGAAAAAAGAGTCCATTATAACTAAAATCATTCCAAAAGCATTTATATGCTTTTTTGCCATTTATTGTGTATTTTTAGTTCCTAGCACATATAATCGGTGTGGACTGCAATCAATGGAACTTAACGACATTCATTTCCTGTTATTTGACCAAGGAAGTGGAACAAATGACCCTTGAAATGTTTAACTGTTCATATTTAACTATTTTGAGTTATGTAAATAGCATTTCTTAATTTGTATTCAATAAAATTTGTATTATTCATATTTTTGGTAAATAGCCTAAAAAGTTAGTTGTAACTTTTAGTAATTCAGACCATTCATATGTTTAAGATTCTTATAACAATGATATTCTAATGACTTGACCATCACAATGTGAAATTGTAAAACATTCTGCGATCATTTTTAGATGTGTTGTTAATGTTGTTCCCACTGGTTCTTGCTGGATTATGTCACTCAAGTATGGCAGTTCTGCCTTTGCGACATTGACGTATTGAGGCTCTTATATGAATTCCCATAGCACCCAATTATCTTTACTGAAAAGTTGTGATATTATGCTATTATTGTTTTTATTTTTAGAAAAGGTAAAATTGGTGCCCTTATCAGTCCATTTATTTTTGATACACATTTACAGTTGAATTATTAGGTTTGGTGATTTGCTATGATAAAAATAAGTGTTCAGCTAAATTATTATAATACTAGCTTGCCAAAAATATAATTAATCTAAATCTAAACTTCTCCATAAAACTAATATGACTTGGAATGGACACTGAAGTTGTTTTTAACTTTATTCAAATGAAGCTGGGCAAATCTATCTTCATAATTTGATAGATATTTTGTTAAAAATGATATTGGCAGTGAAGATTAACCTCAGTTTGTGCAATCTGTGCCACCTTATAAATTTCCAAATTGGTGTTCCTAATTTAATTCATATTCCAAATTAAAACCAAATTTGTAAGAAATATTTAAATACAGTTCTTGACAAAAGTGCAATTGTTGACTGAACTATTGAAATTTTCTAAATGATTTTCTAAATGTTGAGTTTTTCTAGCTTACCTTTTTTGTTGGAAATATTCTACAAAGCTGTTCCTTTCTCAACAACTAAGTGCATGCCTTTTGAAATAAAATAGAAGCTTCTGTTTGATTAAGACGAATTACGCCAGCACTTTATATTTCTTTGTATGAAGCTATTTATCATCCAATATTGTGGCATTGTGAGAAAAAATATAGTTGACCGTTCATTTAAACAGGTTAATGTTGGAATGTAATTTATTGTATATGGTAGTGGGGCTGCATTTCACAATTTAATTTTTTAGCCATATGATTTCATAACATTGTTAAATTGCTACAAAATTAAATGTAGTTCATCATACAGTGGCAATGTAAATATTTTGAACAGTACAAATAAATATTTTTCTATTGTATTACATTTATTTTGTTCAAATACAGCATTGTTTGAAATGTTTTTCATTAACTACAGTTATCATAAATAACATGTAAACACAGTTAATTAACAACTTGAAGTGTTGAAATACTGTATTTCTATTCTGCCAGATATGGTCATGCTGCAAGTGTAACTTTCATGCTTTTTCCATTGGTTCAGTAATATTTTGTTTTGGTTAAAGACTTGTGTTTTAGAGCACTACAAAATAAGATGGCATCTGTGCTTTGCAAAAGCTCATTTATATCTTTTGTTTAGCAAAGCAAGACTATAGTTCTTAAAACAGAAAACTCTGATCAGTAGCTTTGCTATCTGACTTGGCAGCGACTTTTCAAAATATCTCACAAAAAGAAAGAGACACCAACATACTCTGTAAAACAAAATGTTTGGGATAAACAAATTAGCCGATTACTACTGGTGGAAAGCTGCATTAGCGTGCTTTTGAGAAAAAGAATTTCAATAACATGAAATGAAATACCAACGTTCACTTAATTAACAGCTTAACGTCACTTAAAGTTCACTTAATTAACAGCTTAACGTCCAACACTAATGTTGCATGTCTTGCAGCTAGGGTCTTTTTTAGCATTTGCTGTGGACAGGCTCATTAACTGATGACCACTGATTGGTGCTACCACACCAAGAGACAGATTCACTGGCTCAGTATAGATAATTTCCAAAATGATATCCTGGGCATGATAATATACCTCCTCACCATCTTTCTCAGTGCAAATCAAGAATTTGTTGTCTGCAATATTTAGTTGAGGAAGTCGCTGCTTGCAGAATTCATCCCCTTGTGATCCCACTGGTGCAATAACAAGAATAACATAATGGTAGGCTGTATACATACAATAGAAGTCACCAAAATAGAGGTTCGTATTCTGATTTAAGAGTTCACTGGCAGGGATCTGAAATTGGAATTTCCCATATGGTGAATCGTGTGGTGGTTTTCCAGTGTTAAACTCAGTAGTGCAGCTGAAGAAGATGCCTTCTAATTTTCCACTGATAGGAGAACCATGGCTGCCACTGTTATCTTTTGTAGAAGGTTGCATCATTTCCCCATGATTCTCTCTGGAACATTAATTTGATTTGTCGTTAGTGCTACTTTTACACAATGGTTATCAATTCCTTCACATACTGACATGGTTTGTGTTTACAGTAACCAAAGGATGACTTGATGCCATTTGTTACCACAATACTTGATTTTTTTTTAATTTTTAAAAAAAATCAAAAGCAAACGAAGGAAACATTAGCAGAGAAAACTGACAAATCACTAAGCCACAGAGGTCTGGCTTGATTCCAACATTCCGTTGCCAGGCATGTCACCTTGGAGCCAGTTCAGCTCCAAAGTTATCTCCCCCAAGGAGGATAGTCACTAGTTGATCATTTGACAAGTGCGGTTTTGATCCTCACTAGGTGGATGGTTGATACAAGGAACTCCCTGCAAGCTTCCCGGTGGGCAACTCAGCTCAGCATGAAATGCGTGAGAGCACAGCCACCGTCTTACTGGCCACAACTCGGACACATGTCCCTTCCCATTAAGCGACAGTTCCACCAATTGCGGAGTTTAAACAGCAGCTGCTCGTATATGTACATCATGATTGTACATCAACAGACATGACGTAATGATTGACGAATACATTCCAGCTGGAGGCCACTAGATGGCAATAGATATTGTCAGAGTAGCTGTAGAAATCAACAAGAAACAGACGAAATAAAAAATTCACAGGAAAGGGAGTCTAGATACTGCAACCATATTTTAAGTATTGTTAAGTACTTAATAGCCAGTACTGTTAAGCAGCTTGGAACGTCCTCCGGACATGAAAGGTGCCATATACATGTAAATTGGTATTGTGCCATTGTATATTTTAAAATTATTTTTGGGTGGAATCTTGTGAGGGATGTTGACAATAGATTTTTTAAAATAATTCAGCAACCCATTGTCAGAATCAATAGGTGAATGAAATTAATGCTGGCAATAAACTAATAGACAGACAAGACCACTTAAGAGTTGGCGGTAAACATTCTGTATGCACAGTAAAACTCGCATAAGTCTTATCTTTAAGAATCCTATAAATAACCTAAATCGTACATTCACCCAGGCCCATTCAGTTTTCTATCAAAACCACTTAGATTTTTTTTGCACTCATATTAATTACCTCCTAACTCGTAATGCAGCTCCCCTACCCTCCGTTATTCCCGCACTTATCGACTGCATTGATTCACGGAAACTTATGTCCAAACCAGTGGACAGATGCACACTAACCGGCCGGCTGCATTGAAAAGCAGGAAATGTAGTCTTGATCCATTGACATGTTCACAGAAGAACTTAATTTCCTGCGAATCAATGCAATTCTAATATTTGCCAATAAATGCACATGTGGTGACAGGTAAAGACGCATTAAATCACAGGAAACGTGGTCCTGACCCGAAACAACATACACACTTACCGGCTGCAGTGATGGTAGAGATGAACTACAGCGTACGTACCAGCTGCATTGAATTACTCGTGCGCAGTGTAGATTATTGATTAAATCGGATGCAACTCGGACTTCAGCAAAGTCACATTAAACGTTATGGACCAGACTGATATGACTTATGTGAGTTTTACTGTAGTTCTCACAAAATGACTTAAATATTAAATATTCTCCTCTATTAAAACAGTATTCAGTGATACGTTGGAATTAAATTATTAGAGATCTTGTTATTTTTCTCAACTTTTTTTTAACAACAATTCTTACCGGATGTAGTCAAAGTATTCTTTATGCTGGTTTCGATAAAAAACAGAAAACTTTAACATGCGCTCTGAAATGGCTTCAGCTTTCTGCATCAACTGTGTTAGATGTACCTTAGAATAATCTGTTAAAAATAAAAGACAATCAAATTACTTTGATTCCATTTGAATTTGCTACTTTTTTTAAAAAAAACAAAAAACTGTTTAAATAACAACAACAAATTACATTTGTATAGCGCCTTGCACATCGGGAGGCCTGGACAATCAAGGATTTGGGACCAAGCAGAGAATTGGGATCAGGTGGGGTGGATAAGTCTCAAAATAAGATAAGACTCAATTAAGTCTACTCAAATAAAAAATAGGGATGAATATTATATTATCTCTATAGTATTTTTTTGCAAAAACCATAAAATAAACGTCAGTATACTTTGAACTTAATACACTCGTTGAAGAGGTTTGTATGATTTCTTTTGCATACCTGCAGTGCAGAATTGCACAACTTCACTCCAATCAGAAACTGTGTAATCTCCATCTCCTTGCTTTGATGCAGTCTGAACAGCCACAGTGTATTCTGTTCTGGGACTCAAGAACCAGTGCCCACGCACCGTCATTGGTAGAGGTACTGCTTTTGCTACCAATTTAGTAGGAACATCCTGCAAAACAAATGTCATTTTGGCCTCTCAAATATTTTGGCCTCTCAAGGCATTAATACAGCAAAGGCCTAAATCACCATATACATCAACATTAAATTACAATACTTCATGAAGTCAAACAAACATAAGAAGTCAAGCTAGTCATCCAAGATTTACATTTCACAAAACCACGTTGACTCCCCCAATCAACTCAGAGTTATCCAGATATCCATCCCAATGATGGATTCAAGTAATTGTCTAACAACTAAAGTTAAACACATTGGCATATAGATACTTAGTTTATCACTATTATATTGGCTGAACTCAATCAAAATAATAGTGAGAGGGAGAGCTACAAATGGTTTCAACAACCCCACTTTTGGGAAATTATAAAGCAAAAGAGCCAGTTTTTACTATCTAATGACTCTTGCTGGATGTACATGTACAGATTTAACAATCATTTCTCTCTCCCTCATGGTCAAATACCCTACAAAATCAATGAATAGACTCCCACCTAAAGAATTGCTGCTTAAGCAATGCAGAAGATTATGCCTGTGGAACTGTGCCTCAGCATTCAAGAAAGGAAGAAAATTGGCAGAAAATCAAGAACGAGGAATGTCGAAAGGGTAAGGAGCCCTGGTCACCAACAGGGTAAGGGTGGAGAAGATGAAGAATGATAAGAGACTCCCATTAATTTAGCATTATGTGTTGCAAATATGAAAGATTGTGTGGTGACTGCAACCCATCAATCTTCCTGTTATTTTGGTGGTAGTGAAATGTTCTAGTGGTTGAAAAACCACATGCAGATAGTTGAAACCAATATACAATTTGGCCTGTACTTATGTTTTCCACTTAAAATCTTATCCTCCATAAAAATATCAGGGCTTTACTCAAGATTATGGACAGCCTCAAAGTGGGCACAAAGTGTAGGACTCCACTGAAATAAGATTATGAATTTTAGTTTTGATGACAGTATGAATAGAAATTATAGGGTAACACTCCCGATTCATGATAAAAACTTCCCAAAGGAGAAAACATCACGCCTGGGCATTCTGTGCTGAATATCTGTTCCTAGGCTGCCTCTAAAAATATAAGGGCTGACTAAAACAACATAAACACAAATAATTCTCTCCAATGTTTTGGATTATGTAGCAATTCTGCAGTATTCCCTTTTTACTGAATAACTATTTTCTCAAGGGAGTTCTCACTTTTGCTATTGACCTAATAATTAACTGATTTAATCTGTATTTAATACATTCAAAACTATTTTGTAAAACTTCACTACATGAAATACTTAATGAATAAAATTAATGGGCTGATAATACAATATCACCTTGTGTTTAAATTTATTGGAATTCTTGGTCTCTTTCTTGTTAAGGTCAATAAAGTAATGTGTGATACGATCTTTGTATTTTGGATCCATGTCCCAGGAGATCTTGAAAGAATCACATGTGATATTACTTATTTTTATGTTGTGAGGAACAGTAAGCTCTTCCATCTCTGCAATGCCACTGTCTTGGGATTTGTTTCCTGCACAGAAATAAAGTAAATTGGTTTTGGATCATAGAGTAAATAATATCATGATAATAATAATCCTTGCATTTAATATAGTGCCCTTTACATCAGCAGGACATGTCAAAGCACTTCACAGGATTTACTGTAAAGTGTAGTGACTGTATTGTGTGGATTAAAATGCAGTCATTTTGTACACAAAAAAGTCCCAGAAGCAACAAACTAATGACCAATTTTCTCTGGAGGATTTTTGACCAGGACATGGGGGGAAACTTCCTGGTGTTTTTGATTAACATCATGGGATTTTTAACATCTACCTGAACAGATAGATGGGACATTAGTTTTAACATTTCTGAAGGACAGCATCTCCAACTGCACCCCCAGTACTCCACATCCCCAGTGTTAACCAACACTGTACAAATGAACCAAATCAATGGCTTAATTCTCAATTCCCACTGAATCACAAAAAAAGCTAAAATGGATAAGTTTCCACTTAGGTTTTTTTAAAAAAACATTAATAACAGTTAGATTCTGTTTACCCACAAAAAAGTAACATTCTTAAATGAACATCCTTCCAAGGACTTAACTTAGAAACACTTATCATAATATTATAACAAATACTGATCTAAAAGTAACATTTCAAAGTGATATTTGAGTTGTCACATACGCAGAGATAAGAACACAAAGTTCTGTCACCAAAAGGAAAATGTTCAAATGGTACACAAAGTTTCCCTGCTCAGTGCTGAAATATATAATCTCTTTTTACTACTCACTGCAGTTGTGCTTGACTATCTAGGTAGCAAAAATCAAAATAATCTTTGCATTGGATTATATGCAAAAAGTAGTAAAAAAGTTATATAGCCTAGCAGTGAGCAGGAACACAGTACTTATATTTACTCCATTTTAATGCAGCCTTCATGACAAATTCATGGCAAATTCATAACAATCACAATAAGTGGAGGAACCTTCATTGAATTTCCAAACTCTACACTTGAGAATTAATCACTATTGTATGGAGGCAATATACACCAGCAATTCTATTTTTCAGGAAATGTACATTAAAATGTAACGTGGAATAAAAAATATGAACCCAAAGATTAACACAGATACAAATGGATAGGTCCTCTTGCAGAGTAAAACAAATTATCAACAAATCTGACAGACAAGTGCAATTGACTCATACACAACTCATTAAAAGCTGATGAAAGATACATAATTTGAGTTGCAGCAGCTCCATAAGTGAGATATGTCCATCCTTGGGACACTTAACAAAAGACATGTTTCAATGTACACACAATGTGGAGAAGTTAAAAAAAAAGCTTAGATATATCCAAACCACAAGAATACAATCTTATTCTTGTTTTTCTAAAATTCCACAATGCACTAGGCAGATTGCATTAGAATACTGGACTTCCTGTTGGTCTTCAGGCTATCAACTAGAAAGTATATAAAAAGGGCAAAAAGATTGATTATATCAGATGTATGTGGATGAACCATGAAGAAAAATTAGATGGACATCCACATTTCTGCTCATCTGCAAGATGATGATTCATCTGCAAGAGATGAATTACAGTGGTGATAATCTGTAATTGCTGAGTTTTTTTCCAATTATGCCTTACTAGCAGCAGGATTTATTGATTAAAATCTCATACAGGTAAAATACAACACTGAGAGGAAAAGAAGACAGACACAGAGGCATAGAAGCTTGAAAGTATTCTAGTTTACTCTCCACATTATCTTCCCCACCTTAATTGATGCAAGTACCACTTAACATGGAATTTCAGATGCACCCACATACAGAGGCAGAGGGAGACTGAGGGAGCCAGAGACAATCCTGTATATGAGAATTTAAGCAGAGTTTCACAAATGTCTTGTGACATTTTTCCCAATTTTCAAGATTTTGGCATTATGACAATGTAAACTAAAATGTGCTTAGCTAAGCACAAAGGTCAATATATTATCCTCTATCACCATTTCAATTACTGTGCTGCCCTTGAAAGTTGCTGATTGCAATGAAGCAGTGATTGTTTATTAAAGTGTACATTATTTCACACACTTTATGCCCTGAAATCTGGCCATAGGTGCTTCATAGGCAATTATTATACTGTGTAGATACTGTAGGCACGTGGCAGCATTTGAGCAAGCAAAGTCCCACAGCAAGTCACAAAATGAATAACCATTTAACCATGAGGCTCAATAGGACATGGATTTAAAGTTGCAAAGGGCAGGTTGCTGCAAAAGATAGTCAAGGGTAGGACATTGGACTCATTTAAAAAAGAACTTAATGCTGTGGTGGGACGATGGTACAGTGGGTATTCAGGAAGAATGAGATCAAATGGACTGAAGGGCCTTCTTCATCCAAACCAACCTTGGGTGATCTTGAACAAGCAGGGGAAATCGTAATACATCCTTTGAAAGATGATGTCTCTGACAATGTAGCACTCCCTCAATACTACCCTCGGGTATCAGCCTAGATTATGAGCTCATTCCTAACATGAGGTTTAGGACAAATCTGATAAAGTGAGAGTACAATAAACCAAGCCAAGCTGACATCATCATTCTGTTGTGTACTACAATTGAGTATTGATAAAGCAAACCGACTTTCACTTTAACCTCAACACCCCTTTTCCCGTTTTGTTGCAATCCCCCCTTTGTTTTGCACCATTAATCACCTCTTTCACCCATCATCCCTGTCCTCTACCCCATTTTCTCCTTTGTCTTCCTTGCCCTGACTCTGCCCTCTCTGTTAGCCCTTAAAAGCCTCTCCCTCCCAACATGCCCGAGTTCTGATGAAGGGCCGTGGACCCGAAACGTTGACTCATTTTCCTTGCTCCATAGATGCTGCCCGACCTGCTGAGGGTTACCAGCGACTTCTGTTTTTGTTTCACTTTAAGATGGAAGGCATTATAATTGTGTGTTGGCCCTAATGACCCTCATTAGAAGCAGCAAAATGGATACCATATCCACTGAAAAAGATTTTACACTTTTTAAACAGAACAATGCGAGTTGGGTTTGGATGTTTCTGTAAAGAAATTTATATCTCCTTTTTTAAAAGCATAATTTGGATGAAGAAAATTTCCTTGTGCTAGGAACTGCTTTGTGAAAGATAATGACACAGGAAATGCATTTAATCCAATCTCCTAATAGAAAAAATTACATGACCAAATCTCTGGTTTATTTTATGAAAGGTTGCATTACTGTATTCTCTTCATAATAACCTATAGCTAGAATAAACGACAACAAGTATTTTATCCATTTCTTTAACATTTTTGATTTACTATATTTTCTACTCAGTCATGCATGTTGCACAGCTAATGTTAAACACACTGGGATAGTTATTAGGTTTGTCCCTTCCTCCATCCATGAATAATGGTAACACACTTTGGTTGCACTTTATCTACAAATCAAGCCTTCATTGCTATTTTAGACTATAGTGAGTCAGACACTTCATGGTACTTATAATTTGCTGCCTGTGAATTTTTGGAACATCAGTCAATTAGTCAATTAATTAATGTATTTTAAGGCACTATGCACGGCTTCATTGCACAGAGTTGCAAAAATCTCCCTTGCCTCACAAAATATCAGATATTTGTCCTGAAATGCCTTGCGAACAATCCATGATCCCATACAATCTGACTTGGTTGGACGCTTTCTCGGCTTGGACTTGTTGGGATCCTTCAGATCATTTATGAATCGGATCTACACTCATCCACCTCACTAATATATGTTGCCTCATTGTCAATGGCAGTGAGGAGGGCTCCTCGGGGCTATGCAGGCTTCCATAGTCCCAACTGAGCTTCTGTAGCCTTTGCACCTCCTGCCGCCTGGTGTGTCTCCCAGATCTGAGGGCCCCCCGAAACCATATCATGACCCACCTCTCTAGGAGTCCGCGGACCCTGGGTTGGGAACAAAGGCCTTACTCTGCTCTGCGCAATTGGCTGCTGCGTTTCGCCCACAAAATATACAGTCAATACACTTTCAAATATATTCTGTGAAGTGCCTTGAAATGTCTCAACAACGTGATAAGGTGCTAGGATTTAAGTGCTAGGATTTAAGTGCAAGGATTATTATTTTTACAGCAATATAAGTGAGTTCAACAGCTCGATGAAGCAGGAGATCAAAATTTCACCCCTTCAAATTGTGAGTCACATATGCAGTTGTCTTCCACCAAGAAAGTTTAGGAATTTACATTCAGATTCTTCAGTATCTTTAATGTCACTTTTAAGAATGCCAAATTTTCATTGGTTGGGTTTCAAGAAAACTACAAACACTCAAAACACAATTAATTCTTTCAAAATTGTTACAGAGATCCATTTTATATTGCACAACTCAATGGAAGAAACTAATATGGGATTTCACTAAAATATTTTTCTTAAGTATATTGCACAAGTTTTGTTGGTAGGGAGGCTTTAAAACTTTAAACATACAATATACAATCATTCCAGAAGAAATCACTGAATAACAACCAGAGCAATAAACCTGGCTGTTTTGCTCACAAGTCCTGAGTGATCAGGGCTGTCGTATAACTCAGATGCTAAATATTCCCTGCTGGTATATTAATATTCAGCCATCTGGCAGCCCCATAGGCTACTGTTGTACTGATGAACATAGTCATCTATGATTTTAATCATCTACAAGTAATAGATTCAGATAGTTTGAATCTTTAGTTATATGCACTGCTTGAAACTGAAATGGTGATAATTTTAGTAAATGTGGAGAAGGAACAAACAAACTGCAAAATATAACATGGGACAACAATTTGCATTTATATGGCACCTTTCGTTTGATAGCATCTCAGAGTATTTAAATAATGGAGCTCAGCAACAGCCATGAGAACATGAGCACAATACACTATATCCACTGCAGAAAAAATACAAATGCAGTACTGTTTGCTGTAAAACCAGTCCATCTCTCACAGAGCTCAACTATTTTTGGTACCACCTGGAAATAAAAAAAGCAAATTTGATCTTAAGCAAAAAATGAAAGTTTAAAATTTTATTTCATTTGTATAGTTTATA